AGCAAGTTGAAGTATCCGCTACGTAATCCATAAATTTCAAAGAGCCTACGTCAGATAAAATGGGATCGTATATATTTTCAACTCTTTGATCGGGCATTTCCATTCGGTGGGCGTGGAGTTTCACGGCTTAGGATTATATTAAATTTTACAATTTACGTAGCGATCGGTAAGCGTTAGAGATTTATTAATAGGACGTTACCGATATTTTCTCGAAAATCCGTCGTGAGATGAAATTCGCGTTGCTTGCATGTCGCGTTAATGCACGGTCTGCCAGGTCTTCCGAAACCCTCTAGGGATTAAAGTTTTATGTACCTAACTACGCAGATACCTTGCGTATATAATTATTTACAGACTCGCGTAGGTACGTGTATTAAAGTTAAGTAAAGTATCATACCTATACCTATATAGGGTTTAAGGTTTAATCGCAGATAAAACATACTATAAATCAATAAGATGGAGGACAATGAGTAGACTTAGTTATTCTTTACATAATATAAATCTCTGTCCTATAGTTGGGCATATAATATACATAGTGTGTCTGGAAGTGAAATAGTTTTTTGAGGGGACTTCTTCTTATGGGGTTTAAGATACAAGAGTCCCCTGGATACGAACTTTCACTCGTGGAATGACCATATGTAATCACGAATTAAGATGATCGAAAAAATAAAGTCAAAAATGTTATATTGAGAAAATTTGTAAACGTAAAAATGACAGATTTCGTCATGCTCTATTTCAACAAAGAGAGAGAGAGAGAGAGAGAGAGAGAGAGAGAGAGAGAGAGAGAGAAATGGTCGACCCGGCTGGTGGCGAAATAATTAAAGGAATAAAAGTAAATTCTCCGAGGAGAAGTTAGATTCAAAATTGTAAAGCAAGGAGTCCGTAGTGCGAACTACAGACGACTGTTACGTGTTGCTGATTCATATTCCTATTACGAAATAATCCAGCACGTAAACCCGCAGTTATATTTTTCCTCCATTTCTTAAGGTAAAGTAAAAGATGTTTAATAAAATTTAAAAAATTATGTTTTTCAAGCTTGTACATAAAACCGAATAAGTTTATAAATTTGTCTCATTATACGTTCTTCGATTCATTGACGTATATTATCGACGTTGATTTTTGTCCAGTCAAGTTCTTTCCCAAGTAGTTTTTTTTTTAAATTCCAAAACTAACTGTCCTTCAGTAATTCCTGTCCTCAGTTCGAAGCGTTCGATAAATCTCATACCCACGAAGATTTACAGCATCTTCTTTATTTTGGCGATGCTAGCGACACATTTCGAAGATTTAGAGAAACACGAAATACTCTCCGCATCGCGTATCCTTTAGAGTTTACGATGTTTGTCAGAATTTCAAGAAGCAGTGGTGGTGTCTCTAGATCACGATTCACTTTTAATCTCACATCGCGCAAGCCAGAGTTAATTCGGCCAAGCATTTCTGGTACGCAAAAAAAAAGGTTCGTCAAGGGATCAAATTAGTCCTCGTATAAGCGTTTGCATAAATATTGACGACGGTCGCCCTGCGAAATCGAACGACACGAGGCGCCGCGTCAGTAGGACGAGACGCGAGTAAAGAAAGTCTAAAAGTATTCCATAGGGAATAAAGTTGTCCCCATAGCGTTCGAATATCAGTGAAGAGAATTTTTTGAAGGTCTTCTGGCTCCTGAAAGCAGGAAGTTGCCAGGATCCTGCGCGAGAACCACTCCCATCCCCATGAAAAGCCACCCCTCGAGTAACGATTACTCACATGGAAAGCTCGAATGGTCACACGTATTATAGTCGCCGTCAGTGTATCGCGGATCGTGTTAGAATTTAGAATTTAGAAAAATAGTGACCTCGAAAATAAATTGAAAAAAGTTTAAATTTTTCAAATTCATTCTCTAGCTGCTTTGTCAGTCGATCCAGTGACATTTCCCTGCTTGAACGTTGTACCAGGGGTGGATTTGAAGCCGGTAACCTATATATGTATCCTGTATAAATTAAAAGAACCGGCAGTGGCCACGGACGTTGACAAAGCTGGTGCTACCGTGTGTCGTGTTCTTTACTTGTTTTTCAAAGAATTAGGATCGCTCGTGCCTATACGTGCAAGGAGTAGGTCGGCGAGGGGTGGTTCCATTAACCAGAGACAAATGGTGACTCCTCGCCATTCCACGGTCTTTAATAATGCGTGAGCTTGAGATTTACTGCGATCTCGCCATATAGATTTTGCGGTTCGTTTCGTTTTGGCTGGAAGAACGCGAATCGCTCGAAGGTCCTTCGGAGCCTTTCGTTGCTGAAATATTCAAGAGAGGATCGTTTTGTGCGAAATAACAAGAGGTGGAAGGATCGGGATGCTTGGCTTAAGGGAGAAAGGAGAGCAGAGAGAGGCCCGAAGTATTATATAAATAAACTTTTTCAATTTCATTATGCAAGCACTCATTTATTTATGGCTGAACTTGCCTTCGACGACGTGGCGAATGTATACGTAAGGATACTGAAAAATCTCTGCCGTGTTAAAGAGCCAGAGAAAAATGAAATGAAGGAAGAAGCTATAGTGGACCAGTGAGAAAAATAAAGAATTGGCAAACAAACGAGAATGATCCGGGTTTTTGCGAGATCATAAAATCTCCCGGTAGAGCTCGACGATTTAATTGAAAGCACTAAAGAAAGCTTCGTTTTTATAACGGACGTAGATCTTTCTCACAAGCGACAATTTTTTTTACCTTTTCTCGCGACTTCTTTTTCAGCCACGTGCCTTCAGTAACCCACCAATGAAAATCCGATGTCGTGGTCTTTTCGAAACTTTATATTGCCACCATTATTGCGATGCGCAGTGAGAGATTTAAACATTTCCAATGCTATACTGAACGGGACCAGTCGAATCGTCTTTAAGGCCTGGGTGTTGTATTTTCTTGAGTTTTCCGCAACATCGCCATATCAATAGTCGCCATAATGAGTACAAGTCGTTCTTGTCAGACAGGACCGAGTCAGGGTTACTCAAAAGTCTGATTGATGGAATCACAGCCAGCTGAACGTCTGTCTCTTTGAACTATTGTATTGCGTAGTTTACTTTAGAAATTAACCGAAACACGTACCAACTTCGCGAACTTACCGATTACTCATTCCATTCAGGGACTTGTAGTCAGATCAGCGTCGAAATAAAGTGACTGGTTCTTTCAAGGCTCGAATAAGCAGGTGGTAGGTAGATTTTTGAATGGTGAATTATTACAGTATTTATTTCTGAAAAAAAGAAACTGTAATTTCACACGAACAGATTCCATAGGGTTCAGGTACTATTTGACTCCTGAGGAAATTGCATTATGGGTTCGTTTGAGAGAAATCAATATGACGTCAAACTACAGGAAAGCGGGTTATGCTCTGATTTTCCCAATCAGATTGTACAAATGTTTGCCGAGAGTGAAGTTCACCTACGTTCGTATGGCGACACGTGGATTAGGTTATCTAAGAAAAATTCCGAATACACGATTCAAATAATAATTTTATGAAAATTTTCATATCCGCTTCCACTTTAACGATTTTGTGAGTCCAAAGCTCACTGCGATAAATATTCATTTAATAATTCAAATTTAATCTTTGAATATACGATACTCAACGTACTGTGACAAGTCTCGGTTATTCATACGTATATGTTTACCGAAATAGAATAGAAAATATTTCTCGCCGTTTAAACTCACTGCTTAAATATAATTTCGGGCTGCGACGTATACCACGTTCGTGCAGAAGGAACTTGGGATTATAAAAATATGTTTAATTACTCCTATGAATTCCCCCGGTTGACGAGACTCCTCGCCTTTACGATGTTGTGACGTTCGCATCCGCGTTTTTATTCGAGGCACATTCTTTCAGGCCGAACTCGTGCACTTTGTCACTGGGCGCCGTATAAGATCCACGTTGGTTACCAGTGAGGATATCGCTGTCAGAACTGTCAAGTCAAAACAGTCCTGTCTCTGGACTGTGAATACTTTGAGAAAGATATAGCCCTCTCAAAACATGCTTGTCAACATCGTTATAAGCAGTAAAGTCGTTGGCTTTGGCATCCTAAAAGTTTCCTTGCTGTTAAATATTTTTTGGATCACGTTATATGTACATGTATCGTGGATATATTATCGTGATACATTTACATTGTACCATAGTGAATAACTCGATATGTCGGGATATTGTAAATTCTACGGCAGTTTTACGTATAACGGCCGATGTTTGTCAAGTGGATTTTTATTTAAATATACACAAATTTATTATTATTCTTTCCCTTTGTTGTTTGAATATCGAAACATTAATTTCTCTTGTGACGTCATATAATTTATAATGATTACCCATCTAGATATTCTGAACTTGTATCTCATGATGGATGTTCCACACTACCTGATCTGCATCAACTTAGCGTAATGATACCACAGTATCCGATTGCATAGAGGAATCTTAGGGAATTCGTGTTTCTGCATTATCTTCTGAAATTCATCCTTTAGCAATTCGTCATACGTAATATATACGCTTAGAGAAATTTATCCAGTATTGCATATTGAATTATATCAACGTCAGGAAGACAGAGTCAACTTCATTTAGTATGTTAATAATCATTGGAAAAATTGTCAATTCTTTGATTAACCACTATTGCTTAAATAAAATCGTTCGATATTTCCACGAAAAAGTTATATAGGAAAATTGTTTTGATTACGAATTACATCAGTCCCTGAAATTGATTAATGCTGAGATTATCATCTAATTGTAAAATTTTTAAGGAGACTGTAATCTGCCAATCTGAGACATGTTAAATAGCAAAATTTTAAAGAATGAGACTGAATATTGTATTGACGTGAGCAATGTAGGAAGTGACGCTTTTCAAGATAGAACACTTAAAAGCCTTTTTCTCCATTATCGATAGAATCTTTTTTTGCTCCTAAATTTCTCGATGGTTACTTTAATCAGCCTGCTTTTCATTCCATTTAGTTTTATAAAAGAAATTCGAATATATTCGTCCGTATGTTCATACTTCTTTTCCATTTTCAGAATGGAGATTCGCCGCAGTACGTGACGGACAGATTAAACCAGTTCTCAGATCCTTTAGCGAGGTTTCAACCAATTAATGGTAAGTAACATAAATATGATATATCGACATAAAATATTTTAAAAAATAACAGAAAATTTCTACCCTCCATAGACCATATATATTTCTCATCTCTTGAACATAGGGTCGTTCCACAAGAGAAACATGAACTGTGTAGGGTCCTTTCTTACAGTCTCGTGTGGAATACATTTTAATCGCGAAGATCAGAATTTTTATCAGAATTTCGTGAACAAATATCATTTATTGGCATAATTTTTTTTCACACTTTAGGCAATAAGCCTCTATATGGAATTTATATTTAGGCGAAAAAGTAATATTAAAGTTCTTATAAATATCATGAAAGTACAACAGATTCCTCAAGGATTCAAAACCTTTTCGCAACCAGACAATAATCCGCTACGATACGTGACTCGAAAGATCTTCTCAGGATGATATATAGACATGTCGATGCTAAGAGCATAAATCAAGGAAGGCAACGACCGACAAAAAGTACGGCATGTTTGAAAGGGGTAGGTCAAAGGGTTATCAGTTCGGCTCGTCTTCCCGAGCATTACTGAGGTGGGTTGCGTCGGGCTGGACCGAAGCGCTTGCTTGCTGGGGAGGTTTTTCGGAAAAGCCTCAGCAATGTGGAATCACGCCTAACCTTAAATGAGCTCCTGTCTTCCATCCGCTTCAACGTCCGTCCGTCCGTCGTTCTATCGCTCGCTGACGAATATTGATGACCTTGCTTGGCTTCACTTCACTTCACTTCACTTCACTTCACTTCACTTCACTTCACTTCACTTCCCTTTCCTACTTCTCTAGTCTTCTTACTATACTCTTCCTCGTCCAACCTTTACTACTTGAACTAAGACCAATTCTCTTCAACGCTAATCAAGTTTTAACCCAACTTGATCCTCCTGACTTTTGGCTCATCTTGAGTTATCTGATGCTACTTTATGACTAGTATAGGCGACTCTTTCCTGTAGGCGAATTAGGGTTCCTATTCAATAAATTACTTGGTCGTATTTACATCGCATGACTACGTCAAGATGGGTTTGTGAAATTTATAAAAATAAAAACAACTTTTAGGCTGCGACAACAGCATATAGTCTGTTCAACTATAAGTCATTCCCATTAGCAGAACATATTGGTAGCAGTAATCTTCAAAATTTGAATCGTTTTATAGTGCATTATGGTTTGAAAGGAGTACATTGCACCGCTATACATTGAAGCACATTGCTGTTGATTTGAATTTCTGAACTCTAGCCCCTCGCAGCCATCAACTAGCCACTGAATGAAATAGAGAGGAAAGGCAACTCCGACACGCGAAACTAGGAAACAGAAATGGTGTCATACAGACACGCTATGCACCCCTGCAACTTATCACTTTTATGAACAACCGTGTCTCGCTGGCTTACCAATATTTCGTTGACCCAGTTTTTGAATTTACGTATTATTCGGGTGATGCTTTTCCTAACTCAAAATACCATATGGACAAATAAAAAAAATATATATAGCACTATTAACATACACTGTATAATATCATATTATTAATAATAACAAAAATATGTAATTGTCTAAAAATGTCAGTGTCAACAGCCTCGAACCTAATTCAAGTGACGTGAAAACCTTCTAGCTAATCTGCCATTATTGGCATTGGTCTGAGAAAATTTTTGGAATATTTAATATCATCCATCGACCCAGTCAGAAAAGGATATCGAATTCTGTGTACCAATTGTCAAACCCTTATCCACCTCCGTCAGGATACGGAATACCGAATGGAGGTGTCCAATTTATAATTTATCAAGACGTCGAACTACTCAAACTTTTATCCCCAAGCTATGCGGAGGTTCCATTTCAATTTTGACAATGGTTGAAGTAAGTTTCCGTTTCCCTTCTGTATCATCTGGACCCGCTATGATCCACGTGCAGGATTCATGAATGAACAGGGAATCGAGCGACACCACGTGGAGTTAATGAATACTATTGCAAGTCGCAAAACTTCATCGAGAGGTCGCCATCGCGACATTCTTTTCAGCTTGGAAAAACTAGTTGGTTCATGTCTGGTGCTAGTGTGCAAAAAAGTTGACAACATCTGCCGAACATAAGGCCACGGCTGCACGAGCGTCCCTAAGCACAATAAGGTCACTGACCGTTTTTGCGACTCTCAACAGCCGGCACTTTTCCATCCTTCCGGCGGCCGTTAAGCCTCACTCGAGGTCGAGATCAATTTTTGTTTTTCATCTTTCTTTTGTTTTTTCTACATTTTTCTGCTTTCCTTCTTTTCTTACGTCAAGTTGCCTCGAACATGGCGCAACGGAGCGTAGTCGAGACGAGCAAGGCTTGCAGCATCCGCAACACGAAAAATGTGGGCTTCGAGATCTTCGAGTGTTATTTCGTTACGAAACAAAAAAAAATGATTATTTAGCATTCCGTGTATATGTGACTTGTTGGTTTAGCCATAGACGTCATAGGTGCTCTAATTAAAATGCTACTAATTAAAAGCAGACTACGCATCGATTTTGCAGAAAATAATTGCCGAGTCGATTAAAACTGCATGCTGGTCAATCGGTGTGATCGGATCGAGATAGTTCGGTTACAAAGGGAAAAATGGTCTCTTAGTAATTTCTTTTTACTAAGGGCGATCTCTCTCTAAAGAATTAGCGACTGTCGAACTGACGAGGACAACGTTAGTCCGTAGGAAATAAATTTATCGGCATGTTATCCGTACCCGATTTATCCATGCAAATTGCCACTGTGATCGAATCAGTGCGACAGACGATTTCGACTAATGGACGAGGAAATAATAGATAATTACGTATAGATGCTCCAATTTCACTGACTGAAAATCATACGGCTTAGGAAATGCTTAAATTAAATGCTGGAAGCCGTCCAATTTAACGTCGGTTACTTAAGAATTATAACGTCTTCATCAAAGATTCAAAGTGTCGAGCAAAGATAAGAAAATCGTTAGGTTGATGAAACTTTTGAAAAAAAATGTGAGAAAACAAAAAAAAAATATACTAATAAGTGGTAAAGACAGACGTTTGAGGTTTGCTTGAATTATAAATAAATCAAACCTCAAACGCCTCTCTCTCGGACAAAATGTTTTCCAAATATTCTTACAGTCTCAAAATATATACATATATATACACACTTGTCTTCACTCATATTTCATTCAAACAGTTCAAAGTCTCAATGCCGCCGCAGATCGATGTCTGTCGATACAGAATTTTCTTCTCGTCAGAAAATCCTACGTTACCGTCCCTCTTGACTGCTGGCTGTCATTTGCTGTTTCTTCTTCTCTATCTCTACCCTACTCTCTCTCTCTCTCCCTCCTTCTCTTTCTCATTGGCATTGCCATACTTCTTTCCAACGTACGTTACGGCTTTTATCGCTCTCGAACTCTCCGCACCGCGTAAATCTCTCGTTCCTTTGCCGACGGTAAAATTTTTTGCGCACGATACATATAAAACCGCACTCGTGTCCTGTCCTGTCGTCGAGATCGAAACGACTTTTACCTCATAATCCAAAAAAAAGGACTATACAAAATCACGTGTACATTATCAGCAACAAAATTATATGCGAACTATCTTCATAGAGTGGATACTACTGGTTCGGCCGTTGGACATCGAAACCCATCGGAATGTCTTCTCCTAAGTGGTGGCTACGTTGAAGTAGGTATAGATATTTTTAAGTAGATTAATGCCGGACACGCGACGGAGCATTAAGCAGATCAGTATTAATGAGTCTTGTCACCCTTGAGTGACACTCCGTTTCTATTCGGCTACACGCGCTTCTATAGATAGCCCACCCAAGACCTTCTGCAATGCTACGACACCTACAGTATTCCTCGTAAAGCTGTATCATTCAAATGAAAATTATTTCGAAGGTAGTATAGACGATATATAAGTATAGAAAAGCCACGCCCTTAGTATGACAATAATCAAACCAAACAAACACATAAAATTCATATCGCCTAACACGAGATACCCATTCGTCTTATCAGCATAGCTAACGTCCAAAGACCGTGAAAATTTTCACGAATTTTTACCGTCGAAACCTCGCCAATCCCACTTTCTTGCTATGAGCAACTTTTGCGGTGACGCCGGCGACAGCTCAGTCGTTTCCGAATAAATTATTCACGCAGTCGAAGGGGTGCGATTTGATTTTTCGCTTGACTACACAGCCAATTCCCGGATTGAGCACGTGCTATGGGATGAAGATATATATACATATACATATATATATGTATATAGAAAATAAAAGAGTAACTTTCCATTAATGAGAATAACGAAACAGAAACAGTGAAAATGGACAAGATTACTTAAATTGTCATAAGACCCACTCTTATCTACACCTCGTACGTCCAGTTTGAAACTACACGTAATTGCGGACCTCTATGTATTTTCGACTGAACTAGACAGCAACCAGTTATTAGGAGCTTAGCGAGTATCGCCAAGCAGAAACTGCTTACGATTAGGACAGCTAGGTACGTATATGCACCATACGTATGTACGACGAAGCGGTTGCGTTGCGAGAACGTAGAACGTAGAACGTATAGGATACGATTTTGTTAAACCCTCATGCGCATGCGCTGCTACATTTGCGCTGCATTCAAGAGGTTCCAGTACTTAACGAAGAGAGCTACCAATGCTCCGGAACAAGTGGAAACTTTGATTATTAGTTTCGTACGAGTTGTCTGCTAGTTTACTGCGTCACCCTTACACGGTGGTGGGTACACGAATTTTGACAATTAACGTAAACCATTATCATATTCCTTATCACCGCGAGCCATTATTTTTTGAATAATTAAAAATTATAATTGTTATCGTTGCAATTATATTTTAATTACATATACCGAGTACCCTCGAAGGACACTTTTATTATTTGAGGGATGCAAAGTGCTGAACGATGTACATAAATCTTAATGTACTTCGGTGATAATAACAATCATTAATGTATTAATGTTCGTACGTGACGATTCAATAGAACTATACCTATAACCATACTAATTTATCAATCGAGTGATTAGTGCG